ATGATTGTTTCGACACTATGCCACAAAGCACTTCACCAGCTCTCTGTCCTCAGCTTCTGCTCCATGTTTGATGCTTTCAATGACCGCAGAGTCATCCCTGTATTCGTCTAGATGACAGGACTCTGTCTGGTCCTGGAAGTCAGAGGAGAACAGAGGAAAAAGAAATGGAGAGAGTACCGTCCCCTGTGGTGTTTCCTGTGCTGCTGACTACTCTGTTAATTAGTTGCTTCCAGGTGTAATAAATCTACTTTCCATGGTTGCTGTGATTCTGCATCATAATAAGTATCCAAAAGGGAAAAAATATGAGTAAAAATCCTTCCAGTTTAACGGCATTTAAGACCAGAAGAAAATATCAACTCTGATCCACAAATGGAGAAACTAAAGTAAAAAAGAAAATGTCAGAGTCAAGCAGCACAATCAACTCTGATCGAACATTTGGAAACTGATTGACGCCCCTACCACCAACCCTTAGCTACCTTTCATCTGAGGCCATAGGAATAGGTTCACACAGTCTTACTTTAATTCTTTTCCTCCATTTTTCCAGGATGTTCGCACGCAGGAAGAAGCCAACCTACTGGGATTTCTCTGTGAACTGCACTGGCAGTGAGGCCCACCTGTCCAGCTGTAAACTGGGTCAGCTAATATCCAGAAAGCACAATGAGACGTGTGCTGGAGGGTTGCCTGTGGTGGTGAGCTGTGTTCCTGGTAGAGCCTTCGCCCCTACGTCCATGACAGGATACAGGAAGGCTTTCAGACAAGAGGTAATGACTACGATGCGTCTGTGTAACAGATCCTCAGCTCTTTAGAAAGATCAGAGCATTTTGTGGTTTTGATTAGTTATGTAGATGCGAAATATGTGAGTCTTTGGTTTTAAACTTGAGCTGACTTTCAAACGTCTCAGCATTTAAAGTTGTACGAAAGTCATATTTAAATGTCAAATCATTCTGGCTTAAACATGAATATCAATGTAGTCTTTGTCACACCATACTGTCCCAAAAGTTAGAAAACTTCTATCCTGTCTAAAATCTGTTTTTTTCCGTTATCTTCTGCAGGCCAGTTAGTTCTACGTCAGCCTGAACACCTAAATTCGGCCAATCAAATATCAACGGTCGTCTGTCAATCTATTTTTTTGGGTCATAGCATCTTGATTCAT